CATTGTAATGGCAGTAAATACTGTTGCTGAAACGAGTCCAGGATATCACTCAGAATTTTCATTTTTTATTAAAAAAGGTTTAGAGAGCGGATTTCGCTTTTAGTAGTTATTGTTAGCCCTACTGATAACCAATGGACTTTACGCGCTAGTGAGTAGTATCTGCGAGAAAGTAAAAAACCGACCTTTCAGTAAGCCTTTGAAAAGGTGACGCACATACATCGAATAGACGGTGGGTACTAACTGGAGGTGGAACTTGTCGTTGGTCATTAAAAAAATTGAGCGTATTCTTCCAAAACACTACCGAACAAACTTTTATGTGACAATCAAGAGAATATCCGTCGCCCCCTTGCCGACATGCTCAGACTGTATTCGATATGTTCAATAAGGGCAAAAAAAGAGCAATGGATCAGGTTGAATTTAGGTCGAAAGAGGAGATCCCAGGATCATTGAGTAAGAAATGTGTTAATTTAAAAGGGGTTTCTAACCACCACAAAAAAAAATCAAAAATCTACCTGCAAGTCTGGTCTTCATTTCGTGGTTTGTCCAAGCAAATCCTGTACAACGAGGTTTCAGTCATATTTTGTGGATACCAAATTTCGATGCCATGGTGATAGGGCCCAAAGTTGAATCGTGAAATACACGCAAATGTTCGGACGTTCACCAAACAGTTCGGAAGGTGCGGGATCTGAATAAACTAATGCAACCGATTTTTTCCTGGTTTGACTCACCAAAAATTGTTCGCCTTATTTAGCATTATCAAAAAAACTTAGCATATAGAAAATACGGGAAAAATTAAGTATGGGTAAAAAAATTTCAAAAAATACGTGAGTCTCGAAAATGGTACTCGAGATCGCTTCTATGCTCGCTGGGATGAGGAAAAAAAGGGAAAAGAGAGGAGAAACTGACTCAGATTGCTAACTTCTAGCAATTATTTTGATTTGCAAAAATGTTTAAAAGAAATACTAAATTTCTTAGGAACAGTGATAATAATAATAAAAAAACCTTTGATAACGGGTGTTTAAACTAAAACCATCACAGTTAGAACTTTAAAGTTTTAGGACAAAAATTTGTGATCGTGTAAAACGAAAAGTAAAATAACGAACTTTCCAATTAGTCCTGAATGCTAACCTTTGAAATTGGACTCAAGTAGCAATTTGCCTGCTTCTACTGACCACTGACCTTAGATTAAAAATCAAGCAAAATTTCCAGTAATAAGTCCGTAAAATTATAGAATAAGATCGAAAATACTCGAAACGGATGGAAAATATTTTATCCGAAATAATGAGCATACCAAATCTCCTTGGTGCACGATGCGAAAACTGTTCGGTACCAGTGCATCATGAACAAAAGCAAAATTTCGATTCCCCGGTCGTGGTTCACCGAATGTTACAAGACGAATGTCCACATCAACCCCCCTCCTATAGCAAAAATATGCAAATTTCGTACTGGCCAATGATGCAAGCGCACCGCCAAGCGAATGACCAGTGAAAAGCACAGGTCGTGTTACATTTCCCTGTAAAATGTGAAAAATAATTAGTAGCTGCGCTTGCAAAAATTGCTACTTAACATCGTTTGGTTCTCCCATCTATGGAACTAAACAACTTTTTCAGCTTTTTTTGGTAGGCCGCCTAATGGTGATCTTATCATTCGTTTTGTCCTTTGAAACGGTTACAATCTTAGTGATTCTTCCAACAGAAGCACTTGGCAAGGTTTCACATTTTGATTTTTTTGGACTGTCCACTTCTTTCAAAATTACAATTCCGGCCTTCTAGCGGCCGCATTTTATCATTTCAACAATTTCCAAATGGAAATGTTTGAAACATTTCCATTTCTAGACTACTATGAGATATCCTACCAACTCAGGAAATCTCAAAAAAAGTTTTTTTCCGTTTGAATC